ACACTTCCTCGGAAGTCGCTGCCCCGTTTCTCCCCGTGAGTCACCCGCGTTTGATCACAATCCCTTCTTCTTCTTGCCTAATTGCCCAGCACCGCAGGTAAAAGGTTTCGAGATCGGCTGCCCACAAGTGTTTGGCACCCAGAACCGGCTGCAGCGTCCTGCCAAGGCTCTTTCACACGCTATCAACCATGCTGATGAGGCTGGGAGGCGCGGCACTGGTGGGAGCGCTGGCCTTCACCACCGCCGACGCTGCCGCCGACTCAGGTAGACCTGCGAGCCAAGGGGTGAATTGCTGCTGCAGGAATTAGGTTCCCTGGGCCACCTCCTGCCCTGCAACAGTGCTCACGTGGTGCCTGCTGAGCGTGCATGCGCGCGCGCGCGCGCACACACACACACGCCGCTGCTCCCCTGCCCACCCCTGCCTTGTGCCGCAGGTGGTGCGCCAGGGCGGCCTGCGCTGCACGCTGCTGCACAACCTGCTTGGCAGCGGCCAGTGGGAGGTGCTAGTAATGAATGTCCTGATCGGCATGGGCCCCGGCGGCGCCCCCGTCAGCCTCAGCCTGCTGCAGCAGGACCCGCCAGACATGGCGGCGGTGGCGGCGGCGGCCATGGGCCACGGCGAGCGCATGGCCCCACCGGCAGGGCGGCGCAGCAGTAGGTGGCAACGGCAGCGCAGCAGCAGCAGCAGAGGCATTCTCAGGGAGTGTAGGTGGCTCCCCCAAGGGCAAGGCCCTGCTGGCCGACTGGGCCAGTGCGGTGCAGAAGTTCTGGCAGCTGGTGCCGCCCAGCGAAGCCATCTCGCCGCAGGCCAACAAGGCCGCCGACGAGGCGGCGGCCGCCGGCGCGGTGGGCTGCGTGGCGGTGGCCGCCACCGCCTGAGGAACGGAAGGCGAGTCCGACCCGCAACGAGTGGGGATGCCAGCCTTGCTGGGCTGCTGGCCACAGAAGGGGTAAAACAGAATTCAAGGGGCACCGAGAGGGGCGTGTGCTGCCGGCGAGCCAGGGCGGGGGAGCGCCCATTGCCTTGTCGCCGCCCGACCTGCGGCGCCGCCTCGCCGCCCGCCGCGAGAGCTTTCCTGCCGGGCCTGTACCCATTGACCCAATCCCCACTGGCAGCAATTTCGTTTGCACCCACCCCCACCCCGCCTTCTGATGTGCTGGGGGCGCGGCCCCCTGGTGCGCGCATCCATTTGGTTCCAGGAGCGGCGGCCACCAGCGCGGGGGCGCTGGCCCCG